CTATTGTTAGTCACCTCCAAACCAAGTGATTTGTTACCAGTTAAAGGTTATTTAGAAGCCTTTACTGGATTTTTATTTTTTTATTTTATTTTTGAGACGGAGTCTTGCTCTGTCACCCAGGCTGGAGTGCAGTGGTGTGATCTTGGCTCACTGCAACCTCCGCCTCCCAGGTTCAAGCGATTCTCCTGCCACAGCCCCCTGAATAGCTGGGATTACAGGCATGTGCCACCACACTCAGCTAATTTTTGTATTTTTAGTAGAGATGGGGTTTTGCCATGTTGGCCAGGGTGGTATTTATTTATTTTTGAGATGGAGTTTTGCTCTTGTTGCCCAGGCTGGAGTGCAATGGCACCATCTTGGCTCATTGTAACCTCCAACTCCTGGGTTCAAGCGATTCTCCTGCCTCAGCCTCCCGAGTAGCTGAAATTACAGGTGCCCACCACTACACTCAGCTAATTTTTTGTATTTTTTAGTAGCAATCGGGTTTCACCACATTGGCCAGGCTGGTCTCGAACTCCTGACCTCAGGTGACCCACCCACCTCGGCCTCCCAAAGTGCTGGAATTACAGGCGTGAGCCACTGGGCCCAGCTTGGCTCTTTAGAAAAGGACATGATGGGGAGGGTTAGTTGAGAAATGGGGCAATGAGAATGTAGACGGCAGTGTGCAAAGGCAGGGCCAGTAGATGCTTTGAGGACAGTTGTGGGGGGAAAAAGGAGTGATCATTACAATTAATAGCAGTAGCAGTTTTGCTTCAGTTATAATTTAAGGAAAAAGGTTGAGGGGCCTGTATTTTTTGCTCCAGATCCAATGATTTAATTTTGAAAAGCAAGATCCAGTGATTGAACTCATGCAAGGTGATGACCTGGGGCCTGTGAAAAGTCAGGTTGCAGTTTCCATTGCATTCAGAAAAAACAGAAAAATAAATACTTTTGGAAGAAACTTCAAGTTTCCTCCCATTCACGTTTAACCCTAGGGGTCTCACACTTCTAGAATTGCTTAGTGTCACGCATGTTCATATAGAAGACCACCTAAACAGGCTTTGTGTGAACAACAAGGCTGTTTATTCACTTGGGGGCAAGCGGGCTGAGTCCGAAAGGAGAGTCAGCGAAGGGTGACAAGAGAGGGGCAGCTTTACGAGGCTTGGGTAGGCAGTGGAAAGTTACAGTTAAAGGTGGATATCTATTGTCAGCAGAGGAGGGGTCACAAGGTGCAATGGTGGAGAGATCATAAGACTCATTGTTCAGAAGAAGAATGTCACAAGGTCGATTCATCAGTTGGGGCAGGGCAGGAGATCAAGTCATAATGGTAGAATGTCGTAAGGTGGATTAATTAGTTAAGGCAGGAAATGGCTGTTCACTTCTTTTGTGGGTTTTTGGCTGCTCCAGACTTCTTGGCTCCTGCAGGCCGTCTCGACATATATGTGCAGGTCACAGAGGTTACAATGGCTGAGCTTCAGCTCAGAGGCCTGACATTCCTGTCTTTTTACTTATAAAATATAAGTAAATATAATAAGATTATAAGAAAACATAAAGAAAATATAAGCTTTTCCTGGGGGTTATTGGGGTGGGGCGATATTTCTCAGGGCTGCTTCAGGCATGACTTAGGGGCAGCATGGACACCTAAAGAAAATTTAATTGTATAGTGAGTTGGTCTGGAAAGTTTTTGGGTACAATTCTGTGTGGCTAACAAGGCACCAGTTAGCATATTTTTGAGCTTGGAATTGTCCTAATAGAATACATTCTCTAAAAGTAGCAATTAAGCATAATAGCTTTAAGGTACGTGGCAGTGAGATTTTAGACCAAGGTAGAAATAATGTTTTATATACCAAAGCCTTTTGTCCCCATTTTCCAGCATATGAATAGGGTTCCCTGTTGTTTAGCCAACGATCTATTATATTACCCTTTCCCATAGGTATGAGTGGCAGTCCAAATGGAGAAGTTCAATAGTTCTGAGTGCAGATCCTATGCAGAAGAGATAGTAAGGAAAATAATCTTTGTCTCCTGGGTTAAACTGAAGCTGGCAAAGAGAGAAATGTCCCAAGCCTTCTAACCACCAATGGCATAGTTTATGTCATCCGGGATGCTGGTCCGGTTGCCAAATATGGGGAAGGAAATGAGGGGCTGTAGGAGGCTGTAGGAGGCAAGCCAGAGCCTTATATCCTACGTGGAAATGGTCATGAAGGGAAGAGAGAATGGCAGAACTTCCCTTCTAACAAAAAGCAGCCCAAGAAATCACTTCTTTTCTAACAAAGAGCAGCCTGAAAGATCGAGCTGCAAACATAAATAAGGAAGCTGGAAGCTTGCACAGGGTGATGCCAGAAGCCGCACAGACAGAAAGGGCAACCTGGGGCCATGCATGCCCACCATGGGGGCTCTACCTTCCCTTTTATGTGAGCATGTGCACAGCAGGAAAGAGATCAGTCACAAGAATAGCTACCTGCCTGCATAATAAAAGACGGCACACCTCAAAAACCGGTTTTCTTTTTGAGACAGAGTCTCTGTCACCCAGGCTGGAGTGCAGCATCGTGATCTCAGCTCACTGCAACCTCTGCGTCCAGGGTTTAAGCGATTCTCCTGTCTCAGCCTCCCAATTAGCTGAGATTACAGGCACCCACCACCACCCCCAGCTAATTTTGTAGTTTTAGTAGAGACGGGGTTCTCCATGTTGGTCAGGCTGGTCTTGAACTCCTGACCTCAGATGATCCACCCGCCTCGGTTTCCCATGTCATTTTTTTTAAGATAAAATATATCGTTCAAATATTTGTGAAACATCTTGGAAAAAACTCACATAGTATTAGTATTACTACATTAATAATTGGCAATTGGTATAATTAGTACTATTAAATAGTATTAGCACTGCAGGAAAACTACTATAATAGACCCACAGACCACCCATTGTAAAATGGCTTGCACAAAATAAAGTTTATTATAATAACTTTTTTTTTTTGAGACAGTCTTGCTCTGTCGCCCAGGCTATAGTGCAGTGGTGAGATCTTGGCTCACTGCAACCTCCGCCTCCCAGGTTCAAACCATTCTTCTGCCTCATCCTCCCAAGTAGCTGGGATTACAGGCAGGAGCCGCCATGCCCAGCTTATTTTTGTATTTTTAGTAGAGACAGGGTTTCACCATGGCCAGGCTGGTCTCAAACTCCTGGCCTCAAGTGATCCACCCATCTCGGTCTCCCAAAATGCTGGGATTACAGGCGTGAGCCACCATGTCCAGCCCCTATAATAAAAAATTAATGAGAGTACTTTTGAGCTAATTTGAATCAGTTCCTCAGGTTACCACATTATATCTGCTGCTGTTAGGAACCTTAATTGAAAGGATCTTTCTGAAGGGCAATTTAGCAGTAAATTGAAGAAGCCTTTAAAATTCAGTAGATATCACACCTGTTCACCCAGCAATTTCTCTTCCTTAAATTTTTCTTAAGAATTGAGGTGGCAAACCAAATACTACACTTCTCACTTATAAGTGGGAGCTAAGCTATGAGGATGCAAAGACATAAGAATGATATAATGGACTTTGAGGAGTCCGCAGGGGCGGGAGGGGGGATACGTGGGACGGGCGTGAGGGATAAAAAACTACATTTTGGATATTGTCACGCGCGTCCGTGAAGAGACCACCAAACAAGCTGTGTGAGCAATAAAAGTAGTGGAAAATTACAGTCAAAGCGGGTTGTTCTCTGGCCAGCAGGGGTGGGGGCCCTAAGGTGCTCAGTGGGGGAGCTTCTGAGCCAGGAGAAGGGATTTCACATGGTAATGTCATCAGTTAAGGCAGGAACCGGCCATTTTCACTTCTTTTGTGATTCTTCAGTTACTTCAGGTCATCTGGATGTATATGTGAAGGGTTGGGCTCAGAGGCCTGACAGGTACAGTGTACACTGCTCTGGTGACGGGTGCACCAAAATCTCAGAAATCACCACTCAAAACTTATCCATGTAACCAAAAACCACCTGTACCCCAAAAACTACTGAAATACAAGTTTAAAAAAGATGAAAAAAAATAAAATTTCTCCCCAAAAACACATAAAATAAAAATACGTTTTAAAAAAGAATTGAGGTGGCGCTTAACTAGATAATTAAGAATCGCTGGTGGTAATCACTGGTGAAATACATGCACGTTTCTGTAGGTTTAGGGACGAGCAAGTCTGGGAAATGCCACCTGGTGGTTCTCAGCCCAGACTACACCTCAGCCTCACCTGAAGAGGCGGGGTTTGTTAATACCTGAATCAGCATCTCTGGGGGTGGGACCAGGTATTTGCAACGCCTCCCCGTGGGTTTCTAATGCACCGCTAAGTGCCCAGGATAAGCACCCTAGGGCAGTCTAAGGAAAACGTGGCACAGCAAACAATTTTGTACATGAATATTAACTGGAGACATGTTCTTGAAATCGTGTTAAGAGAAAAAAACCATGTACAAAAAAGCTCATAGCGCAGTACGATTCCATTTCTGCAATAAAAGAGTGTAAGACTAGAAATTAACCGTGGTTACGAGAAATGCGTGGCATCTTTTTCATTTACTATATTAAAAAAAAATGTTTGAGACAGAGCGCCCAGACTGGATTGCAGTGGTGATGACAGCTCACTGCAGCCTGGGACTCCCAGGCTCCAGCGACCCTCCCGCCTAGGACACTCAAAGCGCTGGGACTACAGGCACCCGCCACCGCGCCCGGCCGGCCTTTACAATATTTTTACGACGAATACTTATAGATGTTATGTTAAGAAAATAGTTAACATCCGAGGTGCGTTTTTCCAAGTAATAACGTAGATAGCATTTACTGGGACCGTCTGGCACCAGGCACTGTCCTAGGGCCCGCCAAGGTGCGGCTTTCGCTTGTAGTTGCGCCGACGCACGCGGGCCCCGGGCGCTCCTGCCGGGGAACCTCAGCCGACCTAGCCCTGAAGGCCGCCAGCCCGACCTCGCACCGCCCCTCCCTTCCCGGGCCCCGCCCCCGCTTCCTGCCAATTCGCCCCGCCTACCCCGCGTCTCCGCATCCTCTTCCTGGCTTCGCTCCATCAGCCTCGCTTTCGCTGGGCGCTGTCCCTTTCCGCGGCGGTCTGGTTTCCCCGACGTGTTTTGTTTGCGACGCTGTCGTGTAACAGCGCGCTTTACGGCCGCGGGGACGGAGCGAGCCGGCGCCAGGGCCCCTCGGGCCGGGAAGAGGGGAAGGGGAGCGAGGTTGATGCCCGGCGGAGGGGCGAGCGCGGCGTCTTGCCGGCTTCTCACCGCCGCGGAGCAAAGAGTGTCCCGGGAAGCGGCAGGGTCGGCGTCCAGGAGCGGCTTCGGGGGCTCCGGCGGCGGCAGAGGCGGAGCAAGCGGCCCCGGGTCCGGGAGCGGAGGCCCTGGGGGCCCCGCAGGCAGGATGAGCTTGACCCCGAAGGAACTCTCGAGCCTGCTCAGCATCATATCGGAGGAGGCGGGCGGCGGCAGCACCTTCGAGGGCCTGTCCACCGCCTTCCATCACTACTTCAGCAAGGCCGACCACTTCCGCCTGGGTTCGGTGCTCGTCATGCTGCTCCAGCAGCCGGACCTGCTGCCCAGCGCGGCGCAGCGTCTCACGGCGCTCTACCTGCTCTGGGAGATGTACCGCACCGAGCCGCTGGCCGCAAACCCCTTCGCCGCCAGCTTCGCGCACCTGCTCAACCCCGCGCCGCCCGCCCGCGGCGGTCAGGAGCCCGACCGCCCTCCGCTCTCAGGTACCTGCTGAAGCCGGCTGTGCCGTGTGGATAGCGTTAGATTCCGCAGCTTTCCACCCGCGCTGCTGGGAGCTCACCTGAAAGGGAAATTAACTATCCGTGTGAACTGATAATCCTCTTTTTCCGCCTCCCTCTGCGTTCCCACGCCCCTCACTCCCTCCCAGCCTTAACTCTAAAGAATGGAGAGGTGGTAGCTTAATTGCAAGTTCGTGACACCGAAAATAATTTCTCTATACACCCCATCACATCATAGAGCTCAATGTAGGTCTTGACATGTTTAGTGTCTCAAATACGGTTCGTTCTTCGAAAGCCCGTCTGTGGTGTGTGAAGTTAAAACCAACGATAAGACTAGATCTGTCCCCGGTTTTTAGTCTCAAAGGAGTACGTAGAAGTCAGTACTAAGAAGCTGAAGAAGTTGTGGGCGGAAATACACGTGAAACACCATTAAAGACTTTGCAGCCGCCTGCCTTAGCCTGTTAGGGATGGGGGCAGAGGATAGAAAGTCTCAAATTGATGATCTCGCGATTGGAAACGCATGACTTACTGAACATTATGTAAAGTGCATTCATGGTATAAATTATGTAAAATATATTTACCATTGTGTGGCATTGGTGAGATCAAACTAGTAGGTTGGATGCGAGGCTACTTTGTTTTTAAGCTCAAACAGGGGATGCTTTATGTGGATTTGCTTTGGGAGAAGACTTGCAGTCAGAAAACAAAAATGGCGTGGTGACAAGGGACCTGAAGGATTTAGGGACCAGTGTAGTGGAGGAAGCACATAGCTAGAGATAGGTAACAGCTTGATCTTACATTCCTTAACCAGCATAGGTAGGGCCTGCTATACAGTGAGTCAAGGCTAAGGCAGCAGATTTTGAGGTGACACCAGGAGTTTGTTTTTATGGTACAGGAGGGTCGCATTTCTAGTTAGCGTTCCTGCCTGGCACCCCGTCAGGATCTCTGATTGGTGTCCTGTAGTGCCCTTATCTAAGAAGGGCAACCTTTTGTATTGGCTGAGATGCCATTAGGGTACAGGTACTTAACCTGCTTTTAAGAAGCTTGTGACTGCCCAGAAAGTGAATGTAACACAGGTTTGTGGTCAAAACCCACCACCTAGGCCTGGCGAGGTGGCTCACGCCTATAATATCAGCGCTTCTGGAGGCCGAAGTGGTGGAGGTTGGGGGTTGGGAATTGCTTGAGGCCAGGAGTTTGAAACCATGCTGGGCAACATAGTAAGACCCTGTCTACAAAAAATAAAAAATAAAAATTGTTGGGCATGGGGTGGCTCCCAGCTGCTCAGGAGTTTGAGGCAGAAGGATCACTTGAGCCTAGGAGTTTGAGGCTGCAGTGAGTTAGGGTGACAGTGAGACCCTGCTTCTAAACACACACACACACACAGAAAGAGACAACCACCACCCTGGGGTGCTGGTATTAGAGGATTGGGACACTACGGGATTTAGGTCAGAGGGCCCTTTGAATTCTGAAGAACAAGTGAGGCAGAGGAACTGTGACTTATTAATGTCATTCTCATATACAGTGAATCTAAACCCACACCTAGTCCGTAGACTGCATTGTACACACAGATTTGCCATGGGTAGGATGGCAGTTGCCAGAGAAAGAATCCATGGATGGATTATATTTAACCGTTTTGTGCCTCAGATTCCTCATCTGTAAAATGCAAATAGTAACAATTGCCAGCTGGTAGAGTTGTTACAAAGAATAAAAGTACCTGTGAGTGTTACCCACTATTATTACCATTATTAAAGTAGGTAGGGATGGTGTGTAGGTAACATAGAAGAGAAAATATCAGTGCCAACACCCCACTCCCAGAGCTGCTGATGTTTTCTGTTTAGGGTAAGACATTTAGTGGGTATGTCTTCAGAATGCTTTTCAGATGACTCCGAACAGAGGCAGGACTGCGATTGTGTAATGCTGGGTAGTACAGAGGAAGGAAGGACCACCCATGGAGCCAGAGAGATTCTCGGAAGGAGTGATACTTTTGCTGGATTTTGATTCGGGATGCGGGTGCGAGGGCGGGAGTGACTCTGCCAGGTATTACTAAAGAACTGGGTGTAAAGCCGTGTGCGGTGGCTCATGCCTGCAATCCTAACACTTCGGGAGGCCGAGGCAGGCAGATCACTTGAGGCCAGGAGTTCAAAACCAGCCTGGCCAACATGATGAAACCCCATCTCTACCAAAAATACAAAAATCAGCCCAGCATGATGGTGCACTCCTGTAATCCCAGCTACTGAGGAGTCTGAGGCAGGAGAATTGCTTGAACCTGGGAGTCGGAGGCTGCAGTTAGCTGAGATCGCACCACTGCACTCCAGCCTGGGCAACAGAGTGAGACTGCCTCAAAGCAAAAAAAGGAACTGGGTGTAGAAGTTGAGGGATTTTGTGCAACTGGGGTGTAGGGTACATGGATGGTACAGAAAGTCAAGAAGTGAGATTAGGAAGGTGCGTTGGGACCATATTATGAAGGGTCTTGTAACGGTATAAAAATCTGGGTTTAATTCTGTGTAAACAGGTTAAGTAATGTGATCAGATCTGCACTCTAGAGATATAACTAAATGGTAAGAGGAAGTGTGGACTATGGGTGGTGAGTGGGCAGGGGTCAAAACTGGGAGCTGGGGAAGTCAGTAGAGGGGGCAAGAGTACTCCAGGCAAGAGAGGAGTGGGGACTAGAGCTGAGGGAATGCAGCCTGTTGACATTGCTGCAGTGGGAGAGATGAGGCTTGATGAGCAATCGAACATGGGACAAAAGGGAAGGAACATTCAGCCTTGCGGGAATTTGTAAACTGCATTGTGTGTTGAATCAGGTAGTGTATTTGGATTGCTACTGGTTGCTCTTCTATTTATTCCACTTTACACAGTGGAAACAGAGAAGAAAGAAAAGCATGTCTGAGCACTGTAGTGTTGTCTGTTTTTGTTTACATATGTAAGCTTTAGCCTTTGCAGGAATTGAGGCACTTTAGAAAATGAAGTTATTGGGCCCAGGCGGGTGGCTCCCAGCAACCCCCCCCTGTAGATGCCTAGCACTTTGGGAGGCGGAGGCGCGGATCACGAGGTCCCAGCAAATCGAGAATCCGGACTAAGCTACGGTGAACCGTGTCTCTACTTAAAAATACAATAATTAGGTGTGGGTGTGGTGGCGGGCACTCTCGAGTCCAGCGCTACGTCGGCGAGGGCTGAGGAGGAGAAAGGGCGTGAACCCAGGAGGCGAGGCTTGGCAGTGAGGCGAGATCGCACCACTGTCTCCAGCTCTGGGTGACGCAGAGGAGGACCTTCGCGTCTCAAAAAAAACAAAACAAGAAAAGTTATTTAATGTACAGAGTAAGAGGAAAGAAACACCAGTGGGGGTGGCGGTGGACTCACGGCTAGTGATCCGGCAGATTTGGAGCCAGAGAGGCAGGTGGATCACCTGAGGGTAGGAGTGTAGAGCCAGCCTGGCACATGGTGAAAGTGTCTCTGTGTAGCTACAAAGAGCAAGAAATTAGGCTGTGGGCGTGGGTGGCGGGGGCCTGTAATCGCAGCAGTGTGGAGGCTGAGGCAGGAGAATCACTTGAACCCGGAGGTTGCGAGTGAGCCGATGATCGATCTACTGCACTCCAGCGCGGCCGGAATAAGAAAGTGAGGACTTCGTCAAAAAAGAAAAAAAAAAAAGAAAAGCAGAAACCACTGAAACCGGGCAGCATGAGTCAAGACGCGGATTGGAAACTGAAGAGCACTCCTGGCCGATGTTTGGTACTAAGAGAAAACCTGTCTTTCAGCTGCTAAGCCACGTTTGGTTTTTTTTGCCAGTTTCTCGTTGTTTGTAGTCTTAAAAGGTTAAGCAGGTCAGAACACCTTAGAGTGTGAGGTGGGGTAGGCCACATGATGATGTGAGATTTGCAAAGGGATGGGCATCATGGTAGTATTTAATGGAGTTGCATGTAAATGGAAGTGATGATTTGCGCGGTGGACTGAATAGCCTTGGATTATAATTAGTTTTAAAGAAATATAATGGCTTGGAAGTGGCAGTAGCAAGTTATTGATGGTTACCAGGAGTTCAGAGCGCACTTGTGTTTAAGGAGTTAGACCATTGGGAAAGTTGTTATACATGTTTTTGTTGCAGGATTTTAGCGCCTGGACCAGAAGGAAGGTTTGTTTCGTTTCCCAGCTGCTGCGAGCGCGCCCCCCCGACGGGGAACTCTTCAGAAAGATCGCCAGATTGCGCTGATGTTGGAACAACATGGGCCAGGTCTAGTGGACATTAGTGGGCTCGCAGTTAGCCGCTTGCCGGTGAGGAGGATCAATGTTTGGGGCGATTCCTGTGGTGGTACCATATTAGGATCTTCTTGTTGAGGGAGCGGACTCGCGTAAATAATGGATGTTTTTGTCAGACTGCTAAAAGTTAGTATCATCTTTTAAAAAAGTAGTTTTAGTACTGTCTTAAATGGAAGTCTGGCTGGCGGCGACGGTGGCTCACACCTTTAATCCCAGCACTTATGGGAGACCGAGGGGGCAGAGTTTTTTGAGTGTCAGTTGAGTTCAAGACTAGGCCTGGCCAGCATGGTAAAGAAACCCTGTCTCTACTAATATACAAAGGACATTAGCCATGGTGTGGTGGTTGCACACCTGTAATCCCAGCTACTCGGGAGGCTGAGGCAGGAGAATTGCTTGAACCTGGGAGGTGGAGGTTGCAGTGAGCCAAGAATGCACCACTGCACTCCAGCCTAGGCTACAGCAAGACTCCATCTCTAAATAAATAAATAAATGGAAATCTTTATTTTTGGATGCTAATAGCTTGTACATTCATTTGTAGTTTTCACTTGAGTTGATTGCTTTTCCTGATTTAGAAGAAAGCTGGATAAAATTTAGTGGTTTTTTTTAAGTTCTGATTGGAAGACTTAATATTTGTCAAAATGTCAATATTATCCAAAACAATCAGCAGATTTGGTGCAATTCCTGTCAAAATTCCAACAGTGTTTTTTGCAGAAATAGAAAAATCCGGCCAGTCACAGTGGCTCACACCTGTAATTGGGAGGCTGAGGCACAAGAATCACTTGAACCTGGGAGGCGGAGGTTGCAGTGAGCCGAGATTGCACCACTGCACTTCAGCCTGGGTGACAGAGCGAGACTCTGTCTCAAAAAAAAGGAAAAATCCATCTTTGAACTGAAGAAAGGCTGGCGTAGTAGCTCATGCCTGTAGTCTTTGGGAGAGGCTGAAGTGGGAGGATCATTTGAGGGCAGGAGTTCAAGACTAGCCTGGGCAACACAGGGAGACTTTGTCTCTACAAATAATTAAAAACTTAGCTGGGCGTGGTGGTGCATGCCTGTGGTCTCAACTACTTGGGAGGCCTAAGTGAGAGGATCACTTGAGCCTGGGAGATTGCAGTGAGCTGTGATTGCGCCACTGCACTCCAGCCTGCATGACAGTGTGAGACCTGTCTCAAGGGACCCTCAATAGCCAAACCCAATGTACTCTTGGCATCCTTGTTGAAAATCATTTGCCCGTATATGCCAGGATTTATTTCTGGGCTTTCTATTCCATTCCATTTGTCTATATGTCTGTCTTTCTGCCAGTACCACACTGTTTTGATTACTGTAGTTTTGTACTAAGTTTTGAAATTGGGAGGTATGAAACTTTCAACTTTGTTCTTGTTCTGGATTGTTCTGGCACATTCTGTGTTAAACATGTAAGCAAATGAATGAGTGCTCTTGAAGTAAACAGTGTGTTCTGACAGAAAATAATAGGAGAAGGAGAAGTGGTGGTGAGAGAGAAGGTCTCTGAGTTCTGAAAGAGTAGAGGAGGCACTTTGGGCTTGCCTGCTATAAGCATTCATTTTGTCACTTGAGAGCAGCTCAATAGGGAAATTGTACTATGTAGCTGGGTTTGTGAATGCTTGACTTTGTCATTAAGTAAGCTGAAGTATTAATTTTGACAATGCCCCATCATCCTCTTAGACTTCATAGACCTGTGACATTTGGCTTCTGATATAAGGTGACATGTTGCAATAAACAGCTTTTCCTTTGGAACATTGTTAACCTTTAAACTATTGGGTATTAACAATACAACAATGGGGCCAGGCACAGTGGTGCATACCTGTAATCCCAGCAGTTTGGGAGGCCGAGGCATGAGAGTCACTTGAGCCCAGGAGTTTAAAACCAGCCTGGGCAACACAGGGGAACCCTGTTTCTACAAAAGTAATTTAAAAAAATTAGTTGGGTGTGGTGGTGTGTGCATCTGTGGTCCCAGCTACCTGGGAGGCTGACATAAGAGGATCGCTTGATCCTGGGAGGTCAAGGCTGCACTGAGCTGTGATTGCACCACTGCACTCCAGCCTGGGCAACAGAGTGAGACCCTGTCAGAAAAGCAGAGACAAGAACAATGTAACAAAGGTTATTTTCTGAAACCAAAAGAAATCTTTTTAAGACTTTTTAAGGTTGTACTAATAAGTACAAAAGTACTTATTAGCCACTAGTGCCAGATATAATTTAATAGAAATAAAATGATTATTTTTATTTATTCCTGACAAACACCGAAGATACTTTGAAAACTGGATACAGAAGTGATATATTCTGATGGTTCTAGCTTAGTATTTATAATAATATTTATACTATTTAAACAGTATTTATTTATCATAATAAAGTGAGAATCACATCTCACCTTCCTTTTCACTTGGGATGTCTTGAGCCAGACGTGAGAAAGTTGTGAAGTATATCACGTGGAGGAAGGATCACATGCCTAGAGTAAGGGCTGAGAAGTCTGCCCGAGTGGCTAAGCTTGCTGCTTGCCGTTCTCTCGCCAGCTGGCAGATGTCCGAATCCATTCCTCTTCACAAGTGGAAAGAAAAAGCAAGCATGCCTCTCCACTCTGGGGCCAGCCACCCAGACCGTCTCTCTGGAGGCCTAAAATTCAGGTGTCTTACAGTGGCATCCGTGGACCACAGGTGTATTTTTGGATGATGCAGTTTGTGTTTTCTTAACTTTAAAAAAACAAGCAGACAAGTTAAACATAAGTGACTACAGGGGGTGAAGTTTTACCCCAACAATGACAGTATTCATTTCAGAGGTTTCGTTTTTCTTTATGATTTATTCCTGACAAACACCGATCACTAGTTTACCACGCAACTGGCCAGTTTTTACATTTTGGTTGATAGTATGTTATCTAACTTTTTGTACTTCAACAATCTGATATTTTAAAAATGGCATTACAGGATAATTTTAGTGAGTATTTCTCTTAATAAATGAATGAGAAAAGATGCCCTATGTCTAAGGCATCTTTTCATATGTCTGGCCATTTTTCCATTGGGTCGATGGTCTTCTACTGATTTGTATAGTTCTTTACTCAGGAATTTAGCCAGGTGTTTTTCAAATTATACAATCTGAAATAAAACATGCATTCACTTTTTAAAGGAATTATAATTAGGTGAACCTGGAGCAACCTGCCATCCAAGTTAAGAAAGAGAATATTTTCAGGGCCAATAGGCTCCCTGTGTGTTTCTCCAGGTGGCTGCCTCATCACTAACCTGATTTTTATGATAATCATCCTCAATTTGCTTCCCTCCTGTGCCTGCCCACAGTTTCACGTTGCATGCCCTTGAACTTCATATATGTGGAATTGTACTGCATTTCTTCTTTTGTGCTTTTCTTCTCTTGGGGGGTGAGAGATGAGTCCATGCCGATGGCGTGTAACTGCAGTGGCTGCTCTTCATTGCTGCTGTGGTACCTTCACACTGTGGAATACCAAGTTCTGTATCCATCCTGCCACTGATGGACATAATACTGTTGTGAACATTCTTGCACCTTATTCTGGGGTGCGTGTGAAAGTGTGTCTCCTAGATGGAAAGAGATGCACATGTAAAACTTTATAAGGAAACGTCAAATTGTTTTCCAAAGTTGCTGTGCCATTTTTCATTCCTGTAACAGTGTGCAAGTTACCTTACATCCTCTTCCACATTTGATAATGTCAAGTTTATACATTTTTGTCAGTCTGGTGGGTATGTTATAGTATCTTGTGTTTTAACTGGATTTTCCCTAGTTCCTAATGGGATTAAACATCTTTTCAGATTTTTTTGGCCATTCAAGCTTTTTAAATAAAATCCTTATTAAATTAGTTCATTTTTTCCTGTTGGGTTTTTTTTTTCAATTAATTTAAAAATTTATGTACAGTAAGTCCTCAACATCACTGACAGGTTGTTGGAAACTGCGGATTTAAGTGAAGTGATGTAGATCGGGTCCTTGAATAACACTGTTTCATCAACATTGTTTTATTATAACATTGATGAAAATAATTGTTACATGTCGTTTCACTTAGTTGCAGATGCCAAGAATCTTTCAACGACGTTAAGTGAGGACCTGCTGTACAGACACACACACATACTCTTTCTCTCTCTCTCTGAATCTGGCTCTTTGTTTTTCTGTGTTACAGATAGCTTACCTCAGTCGGTAGCTATTCACTCTCCTCATGATGTCCATAATTTTAAAACATCTCCTATTTTAACCTTTTCCAGAACGCCAATCTGAACTGCCAACACAAAGCAAAGCGAGCTTCCCCAGTATTCTCAGTGACCCAGACCCGGATTCTTCTAATTCTGGATTTGACAGCTCAGTTGCCTCTCAGATCACAGAAGCTTTAGTCAGCGGACCAAAGCCACCTATTGAAAGTAGGTATATGTAAATTAATTTATATTCTTGGTTTTATTCCGTCAGCATCCTCTAGGACTTTTCAGTTTTTTGAGACATCATCTTATTTTTGTTATGACTTAAATTGTAATTTAGTGTGAACCTTTCTAGTGTAGTGAGTATCTAGAACATAGTAGAGATGTTCAGTGACAAATAGTTTCTTCTGTAAGAAAAGTGCATGCCAAGTTGTTGGTTGCACGTCTATCCTATGCATACCTAAAGATACAGGCCGGGTGCGGTGGCTCACACCTGTAACCCCAGCATTTGGGAGGCCAAGGTGGGTGGATCACTTGAGGTCAGGAGTTTGACACCAGCCTGGCCAACATGGTGAAACCCCGTCTTTACTAAAAATACAAAAATTAGCTAAGTGTAGTGGTGCACGCCTGTAGTCCCAGCTACTCAGGAGTCTGAGGCAGGAGAATTGCTCGAACCTGGGAGGCAGAGGTTGCAGTGAGCCAAGATGGCACCACAGCACTCCAGCCTGGGGGACAGAGTGAGAGAGTGTTTCAAAAAGGAAAAAAAAATTTTTTTTTAAATTACAGATTCTGATTTTACTGAAATGAGTCTTTTTAAAGCAGCTCATTATCTTTTTGTTTCATACCTCTTAAGTAATCTTATCACTATCATTTCCTTTTCCATTGTAAAGTTTTTCTTATCAGCTCCTAATTTACTTTAATTCAAAGAAAACACTTGTAGAATTTGAAGTAATATTAGCTGCATTTTTTGGGGGTTTCTTTAAGAGATGGAGTCTTGCTGTGATGCCCAGCCAAATGTGAGAGTCTACTGTTGAGTTTACAGAAAACATCTATTTTCTGGTTAAAAATCGTCACTTTATCTTAAACATCTCCGCTGCCTCTTCTCTCACCTCACCAGGACTAGCATCTGAATCTCCCTTCAACCACTTACAAAATCTGCCAGACTCCATCCCCTGAGGCTCAGGGGATCCTCCTACCTCAGACTCCCACGTAGCTGGAATTACAGACATGTACCACTCTCCCTGGCATCTGTTTTATAGGCTTCTGTGTGCTTTGAATTATGAAGGCAAGCTTTCTGCTTTGGAATGAGAACATGTTTACCCGGTGATAGTGTGGTATATCACCATGAGTTTGAAATTCACACAGTGACTTTTGTACCATTTGGTTTACAGTAGATCTTTGGCATACATAGGTTTAATATTTGAAATTTCCGCTAGTCACAAGTGTGACTGAAATGTCCATGGCATGTAGTGGCTTCTTTTTAATATTTGCTTGGGCACAACTCTACATTGCATAGGTCACCAGGAAGATATGTGAAAAGCAGATCACTCATCATAAGTGGGTCTAGCCAAATACCCGATGTCCCCACCTCGCAGGAACTCTCTACACATAAGGAGTACTGCTCATAAATTGGTAAAAACTGTATTTTTGTAAGTGGTTGAAGGGAGATTCAGATGCTAGTCCTGGTGAGGTCAGAGAAGAGGCAGTGGAGATGTTTAAGATAAAGTGACGATTTTTAACCAGAAAATAGATGTTTTCTGTAAACTCAACAGTAGACTCTCACATTTGGCAGGGCTAGGATCCATGATAGGAATAAGCCACTTCTGCCCTATGTGGAAACCATGTGAGATGTGAAATTGGTTCAGCAGAAGTCCTAGCCAGCATTTATTTCAGTGGGTTTGTAACTCAGGGATGAATCTTGTTTTATAAAACAGTCGAGTTGAACCACTTCATTTTCCTTTTGTACTTATATTGTTTTCTGAAAATAAATACAGCATTTGTGAATTTAGGGATTTGTGACGGTCTCCACATTCATTTCAAAATATCAAAAGGCAACCATACTTTTCCTCCTGCTGTTTCATCACCACATAATTTGTTACTTCAGTTATAAGATGAAAAGATAAAACTAGTACAGATCACAGTGGCGACTGAACAAACAGTGAAAAGCAGAACAAATAGTGGTAACTCAGAATAGGATGTGTGAGGACATAGTATTTCATTTTTTTCATCAAAAGTCTTCACCCGTTTAGCAGTCACGCCCTTTTGCTGTTGAGTGGTCATGCTTAAGTACAGCGTGGGCAGGCCACGGCCAGGCTTTCCTCATTTCCCCAAAAATGAATAGCTTGTTCTCTGGCATCACGCTGGTATAGTGTTCTTTCATTGTCTTGTTTGCATTCTGACTGAAGCCCTGCCTTCCTGTGTCATTCCTGCTTCTGATTTTGAAGTATAAGAGTTTTAGTCACGTCATCCTTATTAAGAGATATCTTTGTGAACTTTATTAAGTGAAATGTGTGAGATGTGTAGACATGTTAGCTTCCTGATAGGAGCAACTATCACTGCTCTCATTACAGGCCATTTTCGACCAGAGTTTATTCGTCCACCGCCTCCACTCCACATTTGTGAGGATGAACTGGCCTGGCTAAACCCCACAGAGCCTGACCACGCAATCCAATGGGATAAATCAATGTGTGTTAAGAATAGCACTGGTGTGGAGATCAAGCGAATAATGGCCAAAGCCTTCAAAAGCCCCTTATCCTCTCCCCAACAAACGCAGGTGTGTATTGATTGTAAGCATTTTCTTATCTTTTTCTAAAATTTATTTTTAATTAAAACAAATTTGTTTTTGAGACAGTCTGTCACTCGGTTGCCCAGGGTGGAGTGCAGTGGCACGATCTTGGCTCACTGCAACCTCTGCCTCCTGGGTTCAAGTGACTCGTGCCTCAGCCTCCCCAGCAGTTGGGACTACAGGCATGCACCACCATGCCCGGCTAATTTCTGTATTTTTGGTAGAGATGGGGTTTTGCCATTGTTGGCCAGGCTGGTCTGGCCTCAAGTGATCTGCCAGCCTTGGCCTCCCAAAGTGCTGGGATTACAGGTGTGAGCCACCGCACTCAGCCATTGTGAGCCTTTTCTTATCTTTAATCCAACAAGAGTATTTGTTTTTTGGAAAGTGATAAGCAGTAAACTAATCCTGTCACCATGAGGCAGCAGTAAACTAATCCTGTCACCATGAGGCAGCAGTAAGAAGTTGCAAAGGTTTTTGGGTCTCTGAAGTTTTGTTCTGCTCTTTGGTAGTTTTGCTCTGGTGGGGCAAGAAGTCTGATGGCTGAAAATGTTCTGACGTTTCTTTGTGATCAGTTTGTCCCTGGGAGAGGTGGGGTCGTGGGGGTGTCACTGCTGTGTACAGCGGGACACTTTCCCCAGTGGTTACGTTTGAGCAGACAGTAACGCTTCTGATGGAAAGCGGAGTTACTGACAGGCTGTAGGGAGGAAACAAGGCTGGGAAGGGGAACCCGCCCCCATCACACAGCTGGATCGTGGTGGATTTGAGATTAAAGTAGCCCCCACTGCCCGAGCGGGAGACTGGATCCCCTCCGGAGAGGCAAGGCCACTCTTCTACTGGTTGGTGAATTTTATCCAGTTTGCATTAGAACTTTTCAGGAGATATTGACCTCTCCAAGTTTGCCACCAAAAATATCATTTTCAAAATGAAATAATGAATAGCAATGTTTGTAGTTCGCTTTGCTCGCGAGACTATCCTGAAAACACAGTGACTGTGGAACATACAAGTAGACAGGAAAAAAAAAAACAGCATAGGACATTTAAAGAGGAAGTGTGTATTTGGTGGAAAAAATCTTTTGGGGATACCTGTTTGAATTACAAAGTGTGGCTGTGACTTGAACTGTCAAGTTCTGCAGACTGATGACTTGCAGCAGGTCGGCTGTCCCGCTTCCCACTCCGCCCCCTTCTCAGGTAGTTCTGGTCTCTACCTGAGTGGGGTGGGGCAGGACTGTTTCTTGGGATAACTAGTTGGTCATTAAGATTATTTTTAGTGGCCGGGCGCGGTGGCTTAAGCCTGTAATCCCAGCACTTTGGGAGGCCGAGACGGGCGGATCACGAGGTCAGGAGATCGAGACCATCCTGGCTAACACAGTGAAACCCCGTCTCTACTAAAAATACAAAAACTTAGCCGGGCGAGGTGGCAGGCGCCTGTAGTCCCAGCTACTCGGGAGGCTGAGGCAGGAGAATGGCGTGAACCTGGGAGGCGGAGCTTGCTGTGAGCTGAGATCCGGCCACTGCACTCCAGCCTGGGTGACAGAGCGAGACTCCGTCTCAAAAAAAAAAAAAAAAAAAAAAGATTATTTTTAGTTACAACAGATGACAGAAAAAAAAAACCTGCAAAGGACTTAACATTGTTACAACCAGACAGTGTTGTATCTGACCAGACAGTATGCAGTCTGGCTTGATGTCCAGGAAGAGGAATCACTAGCGTATTTATAAACTGTCTTAGATGTGTTTGCGTTTTAGTTTGTTCAAAATTAAAATGTAAATTTAGAAATGTCAAGACATCATGGGTTTGAAGGAAGAAATTTATGAAGTTGGTTCAATGCAGATAGTTTTGTAACTTTTTGTATAAAATGCTTATTTCATATACATGGGAAAAAAAATTGACTCAAGACCCTCTTTTTCTCTCCCTCTCTCTCTTTAAAAATCTGGTGTATTTAGCTCCTTGGTGAGTTGGAAAAAGACCCCAAACTTGTCTACCATATTGGCCTCACCCCAGCCAAACTTCCTGACCTTGTGGAAAACAACCCTTTAGTCGCTATAGAAATGTTGCTGAAATTAATGCAGTCAAGCCAGATCACTGAGTATTTCTCTGTCCTGGTCAATATGGACATGTCTTTACATTCAATGGAAGTTGTAAATCGGTAAGTTTCTAGATTTGATCAAATGTGTGGGGATAGATACAGATTAGATGGCCAGGAAGGAGATTAACTATTAAAGAAATAATCTAAGCCTTAGCATTCACTACATGTGAATTTAGCATGCGTTAATAAGAACTGAGGGTAGGATTTCAAACATATTTAGTGTTAGTAGAAGCATAAATGAAAACTGCTGAAATTTATTTTATTTATTTTTTTGAGAGGGAGTCTCACTCTGTCGCCCAAGCTAGAGTACAGTGGTGCAATCTCGGCTCACCGCAACCTCCACCCCCTGGGTTCAAGCAATTCTCCTGCCTTAGCCTCCCTAGTAGCTGGGATTACAGGTGTGTGTGCTACCACACCCGGCTAATTTTTGTACTTTTAGTAGAGACGGGGTTTTGCCATGTTGGTCAGGCTGCTTTCGAACTCCTGACCTCAAGTGATCTGCCCACCTCAGCCTCCCAAAGTGCAAGGATTACAGGCGTGAGCCACTGTGCCAGCCAATTACTGAAATTCATTTCCCTGTACATAGTCCTATCTTCTTTATCCCTGTACAAATACAGATATTTTTTTCTTAGTGACTAACAGCTGTAAGTGTGGAAAAATATGGACCGTAAGAGCTGAGAATCCTAGGAATGCCGTCCTAGCTTCCTCGTGCTCTTCTCCCAGCCTTTCTGACTCCCCCGTCTCCTGACCCTGCCATCCTTGACTGTCAGGAAAACAGAACGTCTTCCCTTCTTGATGTGTGCTGTACAGTGTTTGCATTTTATAGTATTTTCCTTACAAATATCTTTTAGGTAAATTGTGAATTAGATGGGCTGGAGGGCTTCAGTTGTTTATGTGCAGGATGGCCAGAGGTTCAGGTGTGCCTGAGTCCTGGTGGAGGCTTTGCATCCTGAGCTCCCTTTCACGTGGTTTCATCCTGCTTTGGATGATAAATTATATGGTCCTCCTATATGGGGAAATCCGTTCTGAGTGCCAAGCGACTAAACTTCAGTGAGAGCATAGTTTTTTAACACCTGTTTGTAAGGTGGGGCTTTTTGAAAAATCTATGTGAAATTGAACTACAGAATGTGCCCTTTTTTCATCAACTACTGGGGAAAAAAGCCCAGCTGGAAGCCGAGGGAGTGGAAGTATGTGCATAGAAGGAGTGCATTCTTTTAGGGGCAGGAGAGGGAGGAAGCGTGGGGTTTCCAGATTAATTTTTAACTTTAACTTTGGTCACCGGGAAAACCAGCTAGCTGCTTGTTGAAAATGTGTTGCTGCATTTCTCCCACTCCTTGTTCCAGTCTTTCCCCTACTGAGTGAAGACTCTCTTTTCAGTGGCCCAGTTCTGTGCAGGTTTGCCTGCACAGCGTGGATTGACCACGCTGAGTGTTCACTTCCCCTTCACCATATTCTTTTAGCAGTTCTTGTCTCTGCCAGACATTTGGCCCTGAGTGCAAGGTGCAGAATCACCGTATCTTTTTGTCAGTGCGATTCTATCTGCTCGGTATCTTGGAATTCAAGGACGGGGTCCTGTTTGTTTTCCCCCAACACCTATCACAGTGCATCATCCTTAAGCGTGAAAACATGTTTGTTGGTGACACACGAATCTCAAGTGACTGCAGCAGCTCATGACAGTGTCCTTGGAGCACTGCCTCCTCATGCCTTACTGAAAAAAGGTTTGAGGTCTGCTAAGTTTAGAAAAGGTAGCATATATTAATCTTCTTTTGGAAATTCATACTTTGAGTTTGGAATTCCTGTTCCCACCCCACTCATTTTTCTCCTTAAAACATTCCATATAATCCTTTGGAAAATACTGGCTTTGGCCTTTATTATGACTCTAAATTCCAGTAACAGACCATGACTTATGATTTAACCAAGAATACTCAGGGGCAGGGCTCAAAACAATAATTGCGGTATGTACAGTAAGTAGAGACAGTTTAAAAAGTGTTATTTATGAGTGAGTAGGTGTGGCTCTTGGGTTTACTTGCCCAAGTATATTTAAAACAAGGGAATTGGATATGTCAGATAATTCCGCCAGATGACCGAAGCAAATTTTGTATTTTATGGTTAACAGTGTTTTTCGATGTTAGCAAATGAAATTAATGGCCCAAATTTTCTTTTATGAAACAGACTAACTACAGCTGTTGATCTACCTCCTGAGTTTATTCACCTTTATATATCAAATTGCATCTCTACTTGTGAACAAATTAAGGATAAATATATGCAGGTAATAGAAATTTCTGTAAATTTTATAATTGCCTGCCAGGAAAATGAGCACACTAACATTTGTTCTTTTTCCCCTTTTTCAGAATCGGTTGGTGCGTCTTGTGTGTGTGTTTCTCCAATCCTTGATCCGTAACAAAATTATTAATGTACAGGATTTGTTTATAGAAGTGCAGGCATTCTGTATTGAATTCAGTAGGATACGAGAAGCTGCTGGTCTTTTCCGGTTGTTGAAGACATTGGATACTGGGGAAACACCTTCTGAGACCAAAATGTCAAAATAATACCTCATCAGAACGATCCCATCCATTCACTGTTCAGCTGTACTGTGATTTAGTTTTTACACCGTTAAAACCCTGAGTGGATTGCTTGGTCTAATGCATATAAACAGTACTTTATCTACTTAAAGCAAAGTTTTGCTTTCTTGGATGACTTTTTCCGTGAGATGAATTTTTGATAAGAACTGGGGAAAACGTGTCTTTTAGGTGTCTTGCTGATGACTATCCATAGGAGGAATGGCTATCCCAAAAAAATAGATGAGTTTTTTTTTTTTAAGCACTAAAGAACAAAATGTGTTTTTCATTAATACAGGCTTCTGATGAAACAGGAATCCAGTTTTCATAAAGTTCCAATGTTGATAATGAGAGTAAATTCTTAAAACATTTGTGATACTGTCCTAGAGGTGAAAGCAGCTGAATGTTTCTGAACCATCAAGAGGCAAACAGGAGTCTGGTTCTTGAACCTGCTTATGCACAAAGCTCTTAACTCCTCATGAACCAAGGATTTACTTGTAACTTTCTCCTTGTCGTGGAGGCTTAATAGACAACAGAATAAATGCATTTCTTGGGCCTCTTATAAACTTGGGAACGCTTAGAAAGCTGCTTCTATTACCAGGCTGTAATAGCTGGTATAGTTTTTTGGTTTTTTTCCCTCTTAAGATGTTCTGTTATTAGTCTGAGACAGCTATTTTTTTGTTTTAAGGAAAAACGTCAGTCAGTGCTCTGGGAGGTAATTTCCTGTGGGGTCTGCACCCTCCTGTCTGGGTGGTGGATGTGGGTTTGAGAAGTAGGAGAGCAGGGTGGTACCATGTGGGCTCTTACCCTTTATGTGATTTTGGACAACAGTGCCTTCCATTAAAGTTCTTTTTATCAGCTGTTATCTGATATATTTTTTAAGAAATCATGAGAAATTCCTTTTACTGAGGTATTTTCAAAGTGTATTTACAAGGAAGATAATCTGTTCAACAGGAATTACTCTCTAACACTTTGAAAAAGTTAAAGGAAACCAAGCCAAGTGATTTTAAGGTAAGTAAAAGTTCCAATCTTAAAACTCTGGAGAAAGCAGTACCAAATATTTGTAACAAATTGTCTTAGTTTTTCACTATAAGAGAAATGTTTAAGAACGTTTGCTTAGAGGAAATAATGAACTAAGCCCATCTATCAGAGGAATGCCTTCAGATAATTAGAACAATGGCAACAAGTGATTTCTTTCTACACCTAAAAGTGAGCATCCCCGTTAGCATTGGGAAAAGAACAGCTTATTACTGAAGTACTTTTGGAGTGGCGGTTTCAACAACCCAGCCTTAGGTTCCAGGACCTACAGGACCTACAGATTCTCTGGCATAATAAAACATTGCACTCACAGCCAACACCACAATCACTCATGCCTGAGTGAAGCTGATGTAACAAACACTGAGTCCATGAGGCACATCACAGCCTTGTTGCCTTTAAAGCAGTAGACAATATTTTGCTATACCTGGGGGCCATTTTAAATAGTGAAATCGCCAACAAAAAGTGCAGAAATGCAAAGAACATGGTACTGAAGAGACTATGAAAGGACACCTGTTTGTAGTAGGAGAGGAAACAAGGCATGGCATCCCCTCCAGCCTCCGTCAGAAACGTGCATGTCAGGCAGCTTGGCTCATTCACTGCTCTGTGCATGTCTGAAAATGACTGCATGTGGTGATTTTGGGGTTACAAATAAATTTTAGTAGGGAGGTTCTCAAATAGGAACTTCGTAAGTGAGGATCAAAACCACAATATTGGTGTTTACTTGAAAGACTAAAATTTTAAATGGCTTACAAAGAATAGTGGTTATATTTATAGAACATTTTATAAAACAGTCATGATTTGTACTTGCAACACCAACAAAAGCTGCTTGAAAATAAAAGTTTACCTAAAGTAAAATTGGTGGCTAGGTTTGGTGGCTCACGCCTGTAATTCCAGCACTTTGGGAGGCTAAGGTGGGAGGATCACTGGAGTTCAAGACCAGACTGGATGACATAACAAGACCTCGTTTATGTTGAAAAAATAAAAAATAAAATAACAAGGCGTGGCATGCACCTGTAGTCCCAGCTACTCTGGAAGCTGAAGTGGGAAGATTTCTTGAGCCTGGGAGATTGAGGCTGCAGTAAGCATCAATGGCACCACTGCACTCAAAAAAAGATTCAATAACTGCAATAAACTTTGTAATCAAATGAGTTCAATTCAACTGTCACGTTAAGATGCCTTGAATTCTTTAGATTTTCTAGTTCCAATTTCTAGCTTTAATATCTTCACCTGTTAAAAAGAAGACAGCAATAAGTAACACCTTAGGGTAGAAAGCAGTTATGTCAAAAGAAAAATAGTTTGAGATCCTAAAATGTAACTATTAGAAATAATTAACTTTCTTTTAGAAAGCTTTAAAGAAATGGTACCGATTTTTATTCTTATAGTGTACATATACATTTACACCTAATTTTAAGTAGCACACTAAATGATCCACATTCCCTTGGAGAATGATGGTCACATGTCTCTCAAACAGTAGTTTGAATGATATTCCTTAAACATTTTAAGGGTATCTGGAAAATTAATGTATAGGAAGAACTTTTTACACATGTGTTAAAATGTCAGCACCCTCTGTCTACTAAGATGTTTTACTGATTTCACTTTACATCTTGTCTTTTTTTTTTGCAATCACTGTTGTTCTTACCAGGAAAATCCCCAAGACACTTCCAAGAGTACCTGTATAATCCTGGATCTGATACCTGCAGTCACCCACACAAAGTCCTGGTGTTCCAGGCTTCTCACTAGCCAATAATACAACCCTGCAACTCAGCAAAGAAAAGCATGGGTTGGTTTTTTTTCCCTAATGTTTAAATGAATGTAGTGCAAATACTTTTTTCACAACTTTACAAAGAGGGCAAGTCTCCAGCTGCGTGGCTGATTATGACACAGTAGAAATTTCACTTTTATAACTAGTAATCCAAATGTTACTATTTTTGAAAATATGGTGACAAGTATTTTTAAAAAAACTTTTAAAACTTAATTAGCTGGGAATGTCGTAGGTGGCTTTTCTAGTTGACTATTAAGTCACAGAAACACAACATATATTAACTACAAAACTAGTTTTGGTTTGAGTCAACATCCTGTGCTTTAGCAAATCACAAAGTAGGGTTTATACCAAGCCCACAGAAACTGCTTTTGACTAAAACATATAATTACCTCAACTTCTACTTAGTAATACATATATACTGACTTATAATTTCAGCCTTCATTGAGCAAATAAACTTCAGCGTGCTCAAAAGAAGAGACTATTGCCAAACTAAGCGATCTTACTGGGGAATTTGGTTACACTGGGTATTTCATCCCCAGTATATGGGGACAATCACCTATTCCTAAAGGTCTATTTTTTTTTTTTAAATAGTTCAGTTCTCTTTGGGATGCCTTTCTTGACCACTCCCATGGCATGAAGCTTCCAATCCTGCTACTGAGGTCAGACTAGTGGTTCGCTTCAGGAAATTTTGTCATCGTGTGCCCAGAGAGAGGAAACTGCTGATGGAGACACTGCAATTCGGCCTTTTCTTGTCATCATTCCTCAGTAGCTGGAGGGAGCAGTCTTTTGGGAAAGGCTGTGTGTTCAGGATCCCTAAAAGGATAGCACATGGGGAAATTACCTGCCAAGTGGTGTGTGTGTGTACACCTCTCTGGCCCTTCAGTTTTCCGCTGGGACACCCAGAACGCCAGTGCAGACACCGAGGAGCCGAGGAAACAGGACAGCAGACGGGGCTGCGGAGAGCGGTACAGTCACGGACAGTCTCCTTCGCCACGCCACCCACGGTTCCCACAGTTCAATACCGGTCTTCATTACACGTGAACACATGGCTCTTACGACAACTGTTTGGAGGAAAGTGATTCATGTGGTAAATAATATAACTAAATGAAATCTGATTTATTATACATTCCCCCAATTCTCTGCATCTTAACTTAAAAGCTTTAGCAAAAACACTCATATTTGTCCCTTCCTGGTTTTTTTTTTTTTTCCCCTTTAACAGGATTTCACTCTTGCCCAGGCTGGAATACAGTGGTGTGATCACAGCTCACTGCAGCCTCAACCTCCTGGGCTCAAGTGATCCTCCCACCTCAGCTTCCCAAGTAGCTGGAACTACAGACGGGTGCCACCATGCCCAGCTGATTTTTTAAATTTTCAGTAGAGATGACTTTTGCCTTGTTGCCCAGGCTAGTCTTGAATTCCTGGGCTCAAGAGATCCTCCCATCTTGGCCTCCCAAATTGTTGGTGTTAAAAGCGTGAACCACCACACTTGGCCTGTCACTTCTTTCTCATGTTAATTTTCATCTAAACTATCAATGAAAACTTTCTCCATTCAAAGTACCGAATAGTTTTCTTCTCTTGCTAATTTCTTTTTTGCTACTAAAGATTTGTGTTTCTAGATATATGACCATAATTATTCCAATCTCTCCAATTTATAATTTAGTGTTCAAGCTTTTAAATTAAGGAACACTATGTTTGACAGCTGCTGATTAAGAAATCACATTTCTGTAATGATCAAAAACAATTTACCTTGGTCTGGCACGGTATTTTTTTTTTTAAAGAAACACCAGTCAAATTTATTACAGTTATCCACAGTTAGCAATGATGATCTTCATGCAAATTGCTGCTCTTGCCATTCCTGGACCCAAAGTGCGCCATGACCTTCACAGTATTCATGCCATCTTTCACCTTGCCAAAGACCACGCATTTGCCATCCAACCACTCAGCCTTGGCCGTCTTGGCAGTGCAGATAAACTGGGAAACGTTCATGCTGGGTTCAGCATTTGCCATGGACAAGATGCCAGGACCTGTATGCTTCAGGATGAAGTTCTTGTCATCAAATTTCTCCCTGCAGATGGACTTGCCACCAATGCTGTATGGCGTGTGAAGTCACCACTCTGACACACAAACCCTGGAATAATTCTATGAAAGCAGGAACCCTTATAACCAAATCCCTTCTTTCCAGTGCTCAGAGCACGGAGGTTTTCTGCTGTCTTTGGAACTGCAAACAGCTCCAATCTGCTAACATAGTTTTATGGATTAGATGAACAGTCACTTCTTGGTTTCTAGGCCCCTTACCTCGAAGGAGACACAGCCCAAGGGCTTGCCATCGACGGCAATGTTGAAAAACGTGGGGTTGACCATGGCTGGAAGCAAGGGGCTCTGGGCGGCAGCATCTGCAAAGCTCACAGCCTTCTTTTCAAAAGTCAGCTTCGTTAGCTACTCGGAAGAATGACTAGTTAAAACATTTTCCCCTAGTATTTCTTTTCTTTTTTTTTGAGACGGAGCTTTGTTCTTGTTGCCCAGGCTGGAGTGCAGTGGTGTAATCTCAGCTCACTTCAACCTCTGCCTCCTGGGTTCAAGCGATTCTCCTGCCTCGGCTCCCTGAGAGTGGGGCTACACGAATGGTGTGCACCACGTCAGCTAATTTTTGTATTTTTAATGGAGACGGGGTTCATCATGTTAGCCGGATGGTCTCTGATCTCCTGTGACCCTCGTGATCCACCTGCCTCAGCCTCCCAATGTGCTGGGATTATAGCGCAATGAGCCACCGCACCCCGCCTCCCCTAGTAATTTCTTAAAAGACAAAGAGCAACAATCTACTTGCTAGAGAATCAGGATATATTTTCCTAATACACAATTAAGCTACAGAAGGTAGATTCAAGGCCAGTGGCGGGCTGTTATGGAAACCTACGTGAGGCTGTCTGCAACACACACTCAGTGTGCAAGCAAAACATTTTCGCTTCAATAACTCCTCATGTTGCATCTGTCTGTAGAGTTTATTTCAGTAAAACTGTTTACTTACCATGTTCCACG